TTTGATTGGTGAGGGTTGGGGTCAGCTAGGAGGTTTGGTCCATGGACTGCGGGGAGGTAGGTGGGGTCGACGATGTACTAGGTGTGGTGGCAGAAGGTGTATGATGTAAGGATGGCGGTGGAGTTGTGCTGCAGCGCGGTGTGGAGGGTAGAGGTAGGGTCTTGTGGACATCGGTAGCCATATACTGGTCGGAGACCGACGAGGAAAGGCAAGAAGAAGGCAAGATGGATGGGATAGAAGAAGAAGTAGGCACCAAGGAGGGATAAGGAAAAACATTTTCATGAAAAAAAACATCCCGACTGACATAGACTCGACTCGTGGAAGGAGAGAGACATATATACCCTTTATAACCCGGAGCATACCCAAGAAAGACACAGTGTGTAGAATGCGGTGAGAGCTTATTGTTGGAGGAAACAATAAAATTAGGAAAACAGGAGCAACCAAATACACGCATAAAATTATAATCAGGCAATTTATTAAAAAGTTTGTGATATGGAGAGAGGCCATGCAAAATGGGGGTAGGCAAACGATTTATAATGAATGTGGCGGTATACAGAGCATCTACCCAAAAGTGACTAGGAATAGAAGAATCAATTAATAAAGTTCTAGTCAATTCGAGTAAATGTTTGTGTTTACGTTCAGCTACCCCATTTTGAGCCGGAGTGTGGGGACAAGATTTTCTAAATAAAATGCATGAATTAAGAAAATGCGTGTTAAATAAGGAATTATCAAATTCACTTTGAAAAATTTTAATTTTTGCATTTAAAAGATTTTCAACTAGTTTTTGAAAATGAATAAAATGTGTAAAAACTTCAGATTTTCTACGCATGGGATAAACCCAGGTATATCTAGAAAAATCATCAATAAATGACACATAATATTTAAAATCAAGATTGGAAATAACTGGTGATTGCCAAACATCCGAATGAATAAGTTCCAAAGGAGCAGTAGTATCATGAATAGCATCACTAAAACGTAGTCTGTGGGACTTGCCCAACTTACACAAAACACAATCATGAGTAAAAACTGAAGAACTATTAATTAATTTATTCTGCCTAAGAGTACAAAGAACTCTATCACCACAATGTCCTAGACGCTTGTGCCAGACGGGACCAGGTACAACTCGGGCTTGGAAGGCGGTAAAAGGGTAGACATGATCTTTATTAGTGGCCTGAAGAAGAAACTCCCCCGTTTGATTGTGCTTAACAGAAAAAGAGTTTTTATCAAAAATGACTTGAGAGGCATTATCCGCACACAACTTTTGTATAGAAAGTAAATTGTATTTAATGTGTGGGACATGATAAACAGATTTAAGATGTAGCGGGTGGCCAGGATGTGATTAATTTAACGTGACCAATATTAGAAATAGGTAATTTGGTACCATTAGCAACACATACTTGATTCGGGCCAGTATAAGGGAATTTTGAAGCTAAAATACCTTCATGAGGAGTCATGTGCGCGGAAGCCCCAGAATCAGGATACCAGACCGAATTATGCGTCTCTCCAGTGGGAAGAGCCGCAAGAGCAGGAGTATTTTGAGCAGTAAAGCGGGAGCAGGTAATTGCGGAGTGACCTGGAGAGAAACACAGCTGACAGACAACAGGTGGAGCAGGAGATGGATAGGAATTCTCAGCAGAAGGAAAACCTGCACTAACATTATGAGTAACACAAGTAGGAAAGTGATTAGTAAAACCATAACCAGAACTAACATTACCAAATACCGAACCTGTGCTGCCAGAATATGGAGGTCCACGTGGAGTAGCTGGCTGCCCGTAGGGTGCCCCATACATCGGATAGCCCCCAAAAAATTGCTGATGCTGCTGATGATAGTCTCGGCCGCCGTGTCCACGACCACCCCGAGGTCGTCCCCCTCGGTTGCCGCGACCACCGTGTCCCCTAGTTGCCCCTACACCATATCCACGAGGACCAGGCCCTCGGCCTGGAGGTGTCGGAGCCGCTGCAAAAGCCTGGTGTACAGTGGAAGCATCTTGGGACGAAAGGGTAGCATTCCGTTGCTCCTGCGCTTGAAGAATGGGCCGAAGAGACTCAAGTGTAGCATTCCCAGGAAAATATGAAATGGTGTTGATAAGGGATTCATATTCACGGCCCAAACCCAATATAGCATATTCCATCAACTCACGATTAATAACAGGAGAATTAATCATAGCAAGTGCATCAGCCATCAGCTTAATTTCCAGCAAATATTGATCCATGTTCTGTGACTCTTTCTTTTTAATGTGAGACAACGAACATTTAAGTTCAACAGATCGAGCAAAACAGGCAGACATAAAACGGTTCTCAAGACGTGCCCAAATAAGATGCGAAAATTTGAGATCATACACTTCCATCAAAATATCTCTAGCAAGAGTAGCAAAAATCCACGATCGAACCGTTTGGTCTATTTTCAATCAATGAGGATAGTCCGGATCCATGGTTGTTGAGACCCGAATTGAGCCATCTACTATCCCAAGAAGGCTGTGGGATACGAGGAAAGACTTAAATTGGGTTCACCATGGTCAGTAGTCCTCAACGGCAGATAATCGGGTGGTAACAATACTAGTCACATTTGGCGTAGAGAAAGCCAATTGTGATGCCAAAATAGGTAAAGAAGCTGTATGAGGGACATTACCAGAGTTTGCCGAGATGGGCCCGTGCGACAGCGAAGCAGAGGCTGGCTGTGTGATGAAAGTCGGACCAGCATATGGGCAGGGAGAAGGGACCGACGTCAGGCGCCGAAGTCAGGATTGGCGGCGGAGGTAGGGTTCTAGTCGGCGTCCATGTGAACGGGGCTGGCATGCCAAACAAGCGAATTTGATCAATATTCTGAGAATCACCAAGCCTTTGACGGAGAGACGGAGCAAGAGGAGACCAAGGTTGCTGAGCGTCGTCCGTCATACGCAACATCCCTAGGGATGGAGTCGCACTGCTCGAACCGGAGTGAAGGGAGAAGCTCGCGCCGGACATCTGTGGAGCGACACCGGTCGAGGGCAGCACCGGAATACCGGACGTCTGAGATAGTGAGAGGCTGGAGAACTGCGGCCGCATATGCGTGGATGGCGCCGGCTGGGAGGCAACGGGACCTGGTTCGTCGGCCATGGAAGAGAGATGGAAAAAAAGAAAAAAAACTAGGGCTCTGATACCATATACGAAAGTGTAATTGTGAGAACAATGACTTGCCATATTGGGTGCCTTAGCCTTCTATTTATAATAAAACAGAGTTATAGAATATTAAAAAGTAATCCCTAAATATTACATTTTTAATTTATGCAATTCTTGCTGAAGTGATTGGATTGGTTGATTCTGCTGATCTATATAAAATCTATATTTAAAATATATTTAAAAGGTGACTCATTTACTCCTCAGCTCCTTAAAAATCGACTCTGATAGTATCGGTGTATTCTTTTCATAAAGGCCTTCTTTTATTGTGGACATTGATTAACTATACTATTTACATAAGTAGCAAAGAATGTTTTCTTTATAGATATTATCATCAGCAACAAAGATTCAAGAATTATCTTTGCTGCCGACCGCTAGCTAATCATTGCATTTGCTATCAAATGGCCACTCACCGATTTGTTTCGCAAAAAAAAAGAAATATCTACAATGTATGTACCACTTTAATTACTTTATTTTAATTGTATTAAAATAAGATTAATTAATTAGTTTGATATTTTTGGTGTTACCCTTTTTAATATATTTAGCAATCTTTAACCTTGTAAAAGATTTTCATCAGAGTTTCATTTTTATTTAAATTGATGTGCAAAAAAGGTGGCTGACAATAGGGTCCAAACAAGATACATTTAATATATTTTATGTAATGCTGATTTATTATATAATGATTGTTAGATCATTTGTGGTCGGTTACCTCTCCTATGCACTAAATCATATGATAATTGTTTGTACTTTTCCATTGTTATTGTTGTGATTGATGTATGTTGTATTATTGTTTCTCGGCTTTATTTGTTACATGCATTATTAAAGTAATTTTTTATTGTGGATGATATTTAAGTTAAATAAATTTCTAAGATGAACATTATTATTGTAGTGAGGATGTTTTTCCATTGAACTGAATTATTATTATTATTATTATTATTATTATTATTATTATAGATTTCTATAGGAGATTTCTATTTTAGTCCCGTAATTTTTGGGTTTGCCCGTTTATTTCTCGTAACTTCAGTCAGTTGTAAACTTGCCTTGAAAACTAATAAATCTGTCCAAGGGGTGTAACTATAGGAGTACCTACGTGCTGAAGTAGCTTTTTTCATACTTTGATTTAAATGGGATCTTAATAAGTACTTATTATGAAATTAATTAAATGAGTGCAATAATTTTCTGGCCTGCATATTTGTATTCACATATAATAAATGTTACTAGTAGTACATAAAATAATATATGGTCTGATAATCTTAAAGTAAGAAAAAAGATATATGCCAACGCAATCCTCTAGTTACACCCCCTTGGCGAGTTACCTACAACTTGTTCAATAACTTAAGCTATGGTGGCTATTGGCTATCAGCAAGAGAAATTAGTGCTGTATATAGATACACTCCGTACTTGAGAGTTTTAAAATAGTTTAGGGAAGGAATCGAAACCCCCACATATAATACAAAAGTCCAATTGGCGTACTACATACAACAAAGCTAGTTGTCAACCCCTTTCCCTTAGCTTATCGAACTGTTTCTTGCATCAATTATAATTATATGATATGGTTCATCTTGCAACTACTTAATATATAGTTTTTCCGTTGTATATTACTACTATATGTATGAATTTATGAATTATCACTTCAGCTACAGCAGTTTTGTTGGGATACGATTATCACTAAACAGTTGTTAACCAACATACCTAAAGTGTGGGTCGGACTGAATTTAATTGCTACAAAGATTGATGGGGAGACTTCATGCACCGATGAGGTGGTGGCAGAGTACGTCTAATTTAAGGGAAAGTTATTAAAAAAAGTTGAAACACCTCAAACATTAGTTGTATTCACATGTGCAGCTTAGGACACCCTTTCTTGATCTGTTATTATATATTTATGGGTTTGATTTATAGTTCTGGCAAAAAAGTACTTCATAGCATTATTTCACATTAACCCCCCCCCCCATTGGCTCCACTATTGATCTCTTTCCTCATGGATCCAATATCCATTTTGTTCTGCTCCCCTCCTTTCCTCTACCTTCTCTTCATTATATGGAAGTTCATGGGCCAAAAGAGGCACCGAGGGTGCTACATTTTGGACTACCAATGCTACAAGCCAACCGATGACCGGAAGCTCAGTACGAGGCTATGTGGGGAGATCATTCGGAGGAACAAGAACCTTGGTTTGCACGAGTACAAGTTCCTCTTGAAGACCATAGTTAGCTCCGGCATCGGGGAACAGACGTACGCGCCGAAGGTGGTGATCGAGGGACGCGAGGAGTGCCCGACGTTCGAAGAGGGGGTCACGGAGATGGAAGAGTTTTTCTATGATAGCATAGACAAGCTCTTGAAGAGGCAAGGCATTTGTCCCTCGGAGATCGATGTTCTTGTCGTGAACGTGTCGATGCTCGCGTGTATGCCCTCGTTGTCGACTCGGATCATCAACCACTACAAGATGAGGGAAGACATCAAGGTATACAATTTGTCCGGAATGGGGTGTAGTGCTAGTCTTTTATCCATCAATATTGTTGATAGCATTTTCAAGACTCGAGAGAATTTGTATGCGCTTGTCGTGACGTCGGAGTCTTTGACGCCGAATTGGTACACGGGGAATGATAGGTCCATGATTCTTGCTAATTGTTTGTTCAGGATAGGAGGGTGTGCCATTCTCTTGACTAACAAATTAGGGTGTGAGAAGAAATCCATGTTTAAGTTAAAGTTTTTAGTGAGAACACATACAGGTGCAAAAGATGAATCATACAATTGTTGCTTACAAAAAGAAGATGAGGAGGGGAGGGTGGGGTTTCACTTGGGCAAAAACCTCCCTAAGGCTGCAACAGGGGCTTTCATAGAGAACCTCAAAGTTGTTGCCCTCAAGGTTGTCCCTCTCAAAGAGCTCATTCGCTTTGCAATATTGTCCACTCACAGAAAACTATCACAAAGCTCCATTAAAAGAATAGTCCAGCCTAAACCCAAGCCTATGATCAACTTTAAGACTGGGGTGGACCACTTCTGTCTCCACACTGGAGGGAAGGCTGTGATTGATGGGATTGGTCAGAACCTAAACTTGAGTGAGTATGATTTGGAGCCAGCTAGAATGACACTTCACAGATTTGGGAATACATCAGCTAGCAGTATGTGGTATGTCTTGGGTTATATGGAAGCCAAGAGGAGGCTCAAGAGTGGGGATAAAGTGTTCATGATCAGCTTTGGGGCTGGTTTTAAGTGCAACAGCTGTTTGTGGGAGGTGGTGAGAGATTTGGGAGATGAAAATGTGTGGAAAGATGACATTCATAACTACCCTCCACAAATCCTAACAAACCCTTTCATGGAGAAGTATGGATGGCTCCAACATGAAGATCCAACCACGTTCGTGATTCCAGAGGACTATGTGATCCCATAATCTTTCATTCCCTCCCATATTTTTATTTATTTTTTAAATAAAACAAAAGTTAAAGAAAGTACATGATCCAAGGTTTTTCTTCAAATCTTTAAACTTATATATATTGTACTCATAATGAGCATAGTCTCATTGTTTAGATCAATTTGATTTTATTTTGGCTACATATGTAAGTAATTAAGGTATGTTGTACCCAAAACATCTGTATACTATACGTTTAAAATGATAATGGTAATAAAAAAGTGTACATTGATGATTTGATACTATGTGTAATATTCCTAATATGTTAAATATAAGTGTTGTATTGGTGGGAAGAGGCGGCTCAATGGGTAAGTTTCATGTTCGCATTAGACAAGGTAACTCCAATTGTCTCCAATGAGAGGATATTATGATTAATGCATGTAGCATGTGCAAAGACTTGGAACAGAACCTCACCAATTATATGTCAGTTTGTGATTAAAGTCCAATTTACATCCTACCAATTAATTAATGGTGTATCCAAAAAATATTCATTGGGGGTGAAGTTACGTACAATAATAACATTAAAAGTATTTACTAAAACATAAATATTATCATTGATTGGATAAAGTTTTTTAATTTAGAAATCATTAAAATAAACCTACAATATTCAACACAATTTACGAGAAAGTAATCCCCTACTTTCACAATTTACAATATTCAACACAATTTACAATTTACGAAGAATCAACGGTCACCTCTTATGAGAACTAGGTCTCAATGCAAACACGAGTGGAGCTTTGAAGATCTAAATGAAGAATTTACCGACGGCCTGAGTTTCTTTTTTGGGAAGTTTTATCGTTATTCTCTGGGTTGGGTTTTTAGCTATTAGTTTGTCTTTTCTTTTATTTCCATTTTGCATTTTATTTTACCAAAAAAAATAAACACTTTCATATGAATTAAAAAAAAAGTAATCCCCTACTTTTTCCATATGTATAGATTACATCATCCCGATCACAGTAAGGATGTTTTTACTTGGATTGTTATTTGCTGGTCTGGTCTGTTTAAGTTTGATCAAGTCTGATTTGATATGTTTAAGTCTAGTCCGGTCTGGTTTAGTCTGATCTGTTTAAATCTGGTTTAGTCTGGGACTGAAAACAATCCAAGTAAAAACATCCTCAAACATTTATAATGAATTCGAACTTGGGTCCTCACGAATGGGGTGACATCTTTTTAGTAAATACGAGTATTTCACCGTTAAGAAATACGGAGTACTCCGTATGAAATTATAGATGGAAAATAAATATTCCGTATTAGGAAAAACTCACAAATGAGCTCTCGTAGTATATAAAAACTCAATTAAGCCGCGGAACTTAAAAACGCCCAATTAAGATCATGAACTTAGAAATATGATCAAATTTATATTCTAGTAGGTTGATTCCAGATTAGCTAATCCTTTGGTTACCTGGCTTTTTTTATGGAAAATTTTATGGTGCCTTCATTAGTACGCAACTTATACCGTGCAACCAACATACCATGCGCCTGGTATGTCGGTCCTAAAACGGTTGCCGTTTTTTTCCTCCCCAAACTCTATGTAGTCCAATATTACGGAAGCAAAGTTTTTAGTAAGTTATAAAATTCTCAAATTAATTACCTATTAATGTAACCAAAATGTAATAAAAATTCAAAATATAAGTACAAGACAAAATTTTAAATTATTTAACGAAATATCGAGCCACAAATATATAAATTAAACAACACACAACCACCTTAATCAAAATGTTAATCATCATTCATAAACTAATTAAAAAGATAGCACCATAAATTCATAAGAAACTAAACTAGTACGTTACTATACATATTTGTCTATGAAAATAATTTAAAGCTTATTAAATTTCCAAGTATAAATAAAATTAAGATAATTAAATGAATATGTCACACTTCATTAAGTAAGAGTCTTTGTTTACAAAAAATATTAAAGAAAGAAAGTTTGATGCATTTGGGATAGAGAATAGAGGAATATAATTTAGGAGTTTAATTATACGGACTTGGAAATTATTTTTAGTAGAGTGAAAAGTTTCTTTAATTGGAAGTTTTTGTCTAGACACAAGAACATGAAGAGCTTTCGTGTCTTGTTAGTATATTATATTATACTAATATTAAATATAATAGAGATATTAAAATAATATTTTAAAACGGTTCGGTCTGGGTACCCGTTTTTTCAAATTTTAAGACATGTTCGGTCCCTAAGTTTTTCAGGACCCGCCCCACCCCGAACCGTTTAAATTTTCTAAAATTAGGACTCGACCCTAACCCGCCCTGAACCTGTATTACCTGGCCTGAACCGCGGTTCCAGTACCCGTTTGCCCACCCCTAATATGAAATGTTGTGATGTTTCGGTACATACTCCACGCTGGCTTAAATAATTGGATGAAAATCATCATTAACGAGGTAATTCTTTTGTATTTAGAATTTGATCCTTGAACAAATGAAGATTCAGTATCATTATTCTCATCATTCTAGTCCCCTAAGATATACGAAGTATATTTTTGATTATCCCCAAGATATATACGTAGTATTGGATAATAGGAGTATAATCAATACAACAACAACATCATCCAAGCCTTAGTCCCAAAAGATATTGAGATCGGCTAACATGAATCGATACATGATATCACAACCAAAAGGAAAAGAAAGAAAATAAAGATAAAAAAGATAAGCTATTATAAAATGATAATATAAAAAGAGATGAATATACATAAAAATGATAAAATAAAAAGGTTACAAATAATGCTTATATATAAGGATAAAAAACAAGGAAAAAAAGATGAGAGAAAAAGATTATACGAGATCACTCCTTCACGCGAATACCCGCTCTCCACTTAGTTCTCTCCAAAGTCATGCCCTCACCCAACCCCAGAAGAAGCATATCACTTCGAACTCCCCTAACCCATGTCTGTTTGGGTTTTCCTCTCCCTCTCTTCCCTGCTTCTTCTCCACACATCTCAACTCGTTTGACAGGTGCATCACTCGGTCTTCTACGCACATGACCAAACCATCTTGTCTTCAATAGATGCTACTCCCACCCTTTGTCTGATTGTCTCATTCCTCACGCGGTCCTTCCTAGTATGCCCAGACATCCAACGCAGCATGCGCATCTCCGCCACACTCATCTTTTGAACGTGACATTGTTTCACCGCCCAACACTCTACGCCATACAGTAATGGAGGCCTAATTGATGTCCTATAAAATTTACCCTTTAGTGTAGTCGGCATACCTCGGTCGCATAGAAATCCTGACGCACTCTTCCACTTCATCCACCTTGTTCTGATTCTATGAGATACATCTCCATCTAACTCACCGTCTTTCTGAATTATGGAGCCCAAGTAACGGAACATATCGCTGACTGGTATCTCCTTACCATCCAGAGTAATTCCGCTATTACCATTGCTTCTACCTCCACCAAACTTGCACTCCATGTACTCTGTCTTGCTTTGACTTAGTTTGAAACCCTTATTCTCCAATGTTTGTCGCCATACTTCCAACTTTGCTTTAAGACCTGATTGCGTCTCATCAATCAATACAATATCGTCGGCAAATATTATGCACCACGGTATATCGTCTTGAATTGACTTCGTAAGTTCATCCATGACTATGGCAAATAAGAAAGGGCTCAAGGCCGATCCTTGGTGCACTCCGATAGTAACAGGGAACTCTTCAGTCCTCCCTACACTAGTATGGACACTTGTAGTACAATCCTCATACATATCCATGATGATGTTGATATACTTGCGTGATATGTCTTTCCTAGTTAAGGCCCACCAAAGAACTTCTCGAAGTACCCTATCATATGCCTTTTCTAAGTCAATGAACACAAAATGCAGATCCTTATGAGCGTCTCTATACTTCTCCATAAGTTGCCGAAGAAGGTGAATGACCTCAGTTGTTGAGCGACCAGGCATAAAACCGAATTGATTCTCTGAAATCTTCACAATTTTTCGAAGTCTTTGCTCAATCACTCGCTCCCAAAGTTTCATGGTGTGACTCATAAGATTAATCCCTCGATAGTTGGCACATTCTTGTACATCACCTTTATTCTTAAATAAGGGGATAAGAGTACTCTTCCTCCAACTCGTTGGCATCTTGTTGTTTCTCCAAATCATGTTGAAGAAACTTGTTAACCACTCGACGCCTCTCTCTCCCAAACTTCTCCAAGCCTCGATCGATATGCCATCTGGCCTCATTGCTTTCTTCCGTCCCATCTTCCTCAGAGCTTCTTTAACTTCCGTTGTTTGGATCCTTCTCACAAAATCACGATTTACCATACAATCTGGTATGGACAAATCATCGATATCTTGCGTTTTGTTCCCGTTGAATAGTGTATCAAAGTATGACCTCCACCTCTCTTTTATCTCTCCGTCGTCCATTAATATCCTCTAATCGACATCCTTCACACACTTAACTTTTGCAATATCTTGAGTCCTGCGATCACGAAGACGAACAAGTTTATAAATATCTAGTTCTCCTTCCTTAGACTCCAACTTTTCATACAACTCCTTGTTCACTTTCCCTCGTGCTTCCCTTACGGCTTTCTTTTTTTGTCTTTTAGACTCCTTGTATGCTTCTATGTTCTCATCACTTCAACTTGTCCCCAACTTTTTGTAGCAATCTCTTTTGTTCCTTATGGCTTGTTTCACCTCATCATTCCACCAAGATGTGTCCTTTTTAGGTGGCAGACATCCTTTAGATTCTCCAAGTACCTCCTTTTCCACTTTTTTAATGGTCAACTCCATTGATAACCACACATCATCCACATCTGTTTCATTATCAATACGCCATACATCTTCACCGACCATTTTGTGTGTAAAGCTTTGTTGAAGATCTCCTTCAAGCCTCCACCACTTTATCTTTGGCTCCACTTGTTGTTTAACTTGTCTTCTATGGTTCTTACCTCGAAAGTCAAGCACAAGCATCCTATGCTGAGTGACAACACTCTCACCTGGAATAACCTTACAATCAGTGTAGTTAGTTCTCCAAGTGGTCCGTACTAAGAAGTAGTCAATTTGGGTACTATTAGCTCCACTTTTATAGGTCACAAAGTGAGAGTCTCTTTTCTTAAACCAAGTGTTCATTATAGCCAACTCATACGTCAAGGAAAAATCCAAAATGTTCTTTCCTGTCTCATTCCTAGTGCCAAAACCATGTCTGCCATGAATACTCTCAAAGTCATCATGACTCGAGCCCACATGCCCTTTGAGGTCACCTACTGTGATCAACTTCTCTCCCCTTGGCACTCGTCACACCACGTCTTCAAGATCTTCCCAGAACTGTTGAGTTGTAGATGCATCCAATCCC